GCACATCAAAAGATCAGAGCGCAATGATTCGTAAATTGCTCGTTTTGTGAATGCCGCAGGAATCCTACGACGAGGACGACAAACTCCGTTTTTCCAGACCATGTCATTCGGCATACTATCGGCATGGTCGTCGACGAACCGTTTCAACAGTGCAAGCATCGTGACGACTTTTTCGGATGGTTTAGACAAGCCCGAGTGCCCATGCTCCCTAACGACAACACCGTTATCGTACATCCTTTTGTAGACATAGAATGTGTTACGAGAAATATCGAGAATGTTAAAGTACGCCTGCACACACATCTTCCGTTTGCAAGCTACAGGCCTGACCCGCTCAACACCACCTTCCATAACCGTGAAGTCATGTATGGTTTGCAACCACCACTTCGTCCTTTCCGCGAAACTTTTCGAGTAGAATGCCTCCCGCACCGGCCTGACATCTTCGGCTGTCAGTTCATAGCAACACATCCGCCTACAACAGAGCATCCCTCGCACTGCCTGAAGTGACTGCATCCTGAGTTTGCCCATAGCTCGCCGATGCTGTGTCTTTTTGGCCGGTTCTCTGTTTGCCATAGAATAGGGTCTTCTTTCACCGGGCATAGGCGCCGGCAAAATGTACCGTATGTGGCGGTCCTCTTCGGAGAGACAGCGTGAGCTTTGACTGTCTCGTGAATAGCAGTATTCAGTGATTTCATCCGTGGACGGTCCTTGACTCTCCTGGCACTGCGGAGGGGTAGACGAGGAAACCCTATCACCCCCATCGGCAACTCTCAAGGAAGAACCAGCAGTAGTGCAGTTGTTCGCACTATACACGTACTCCGTCCCACTATAACTACAGTCACCGAGATTCCCCTCGGGTATGGAGCTCGACATCCCAGCGTCGGTCATTTCAGAACATGCTGAAGAGACTCTGGATGTACAATGGACACTAAGAAACTAGCCCCCGCTTCCAGTGTTTTTGTGGTATTCAAGCACGTGACGACAGATGTACGAATGCTCGGTGGAGGTGGACAACTGTGTTCTCTTCCGTCAATGCTGAGTGTTTGAGTCACGTGACCGTTTTCCAGAGGAAGCACATGGCTCGAGTCGGGAAGAAGTACTATCGGCACTGCTCGGAACTCCAATGCCCATAACCAATCCCTTCCCAGCTAATTCCTGCCGAAAAAGTAACGGAAGGCAAGTTGGCGTGGGAGGGAAGTCTTGATCGACCGTCGTCGTATCACACCAGTGAAGCATTCGACTTTTCCCTACGAGCAGAGCAACAGACGTTGACCCAAATCGCAGCCGAGACAGTTGTTGGACTTTGGCAATGATAAAGCGACAGAGATGCGTCCGCCAGTTGGGGAGCACTATAGCAGYGCAACGAAAYAAAAAGAYAATGCATAGCCAGCCTTGAACCGRACRACAAGCCTTCACCCTCACCGATTTCACATGTATGGCGTARAAATGGCGTCCCGCAAGTATGTAACATACTTTAGATTCGGATGAATCCGACGCAACGACGCAGGCAAATATCGGACTTGACATTAGAGGTGCACAGCCAGCCTTGAACWGGACTACAAGCCTTGCCCGTCASCGACCAGWCATGCTGTAGAAATTGCGGGTGCGCAAAWATGTAACTGATTTTAGACTCRGATGAATCCGATACAATGATGCAGGTAAATATTGGCAAGTCCGCATCGTCGCAGGTTCTTATATCGGATGCATCCGAGACACTTAAATCCAGATTTAGACAATTGCAGCATACACCACCAGTGCGTCAAGTATGCAATGTCGAGCACCATCAGCACTCATACAGACGACGGAAGTGATCACGAGTCTTCCGCGTCGTAAGAAATCGACAACCTTCCCACAGTGCCAAACAGTCGGCGGTCTGTGCTGTGGGGTGGCAAAAGCACTCTTAGGGAACCTCGCGGTCTTGTTCGGAAATTGTTGGCGTAGCACCAGGTGCTCACCAAACAGTTTCGAACGCCGATGTAATGGACAGATCATATGATGCCTTAAGATCAAGCAGTGGTTGATAGCTGGCCCCCTTTCCCGGTGTGGATCTTTGAGAGCAGAGTTTCGCACTCCACCGTGAGATCCATATCGGAGAAGGGGACCTGCTACCCTGCCGCTGTTACCTTTAGTCATCATAAGGGATTCTATGACGCGGGAACCCAAAAATGAGCAATTGCGGAGGAATATCGTGGCCGCATGACGAACTTTTTGGCGTAGCACTAGATGCTCACCGACCAGTTATGAATGTTGGTTGTATTGACACATCATATGATGTTTTACAAGCAAGCAGTGGTTGATAGCTGGCCCCCTTTCCCGGTCTGGATCTTTGAGAGCGGAGTTTCGCACTCCACCGTGAGATCCATATCGGAGAAGGGGACCTGCTACCCTGCCGCTGTTAAGTGTAGTCATCATAAGGGACTCTATGACGCGAGAACCCGAAAATGAGCAATTGCGGGGGAATATCGTGGCCACATGACGAACTTTCCGGCGTAGCACCTGATGCTCACCGTCCAGTTCTGAATGTCGGTTGTGTCGGCACATCATATGATGTTTTACAAGCAAGCAGTGGTTGATAGCTGGCCCACTTTCCCGGTGTGGATCTTTGAGAGCAGAGTTTCGCACTCCACCGTGAGATCCATATCGGAGAAGAGGACCTGCTACCCCGCCGCTGTTAACTGTAGTCATCATAAGGGAGTCTATGACGCGAGAACCCCAAAATGAGCAATCGCGGGGGAATATTGAGGCCGCATGACGAACTTTTTGGCGTAGCACCAGATGCTCACCGACCAGTTCTGAATGTCGGTTGTATCGACACATCATATGATGTTTTACAAGCAAGCAGTGGTCGATTGCTGGCCCCCCTCTTCGGTGAGGATCTTTGAGAGCAGATTTGACGCCATCCACCGTTAGACCCACATCGGAGAGGCGAACCTGTCATCATGCCGCTGTTCACGGTAATCATCATGTGGGAGTCGACAACTCGATGACCCCGCGATGTTCCAATCGGGAATTTTTTTTGTGTTCTGTGCAGGTGTTGAACGTTCGGTGACGAGAAGGAACAAGCTCCAGAGGCCCCAAACTTCGGATGGATCCGAGACACAAGATGACATGCCGGACAAGGTCGATTGCAGCGTCGGCCAGCGTCGCTCAGTCACTTTCGGCCTGGCAGCGGCTGTTGCACAGAGGGCTACGGACATGGCACCACATTTAATGGCATCCAATCCAAAAACCATCGTCGCCGTCGCCGGGGGTGATCACGAGCCTTCGCCGTCGCGAGAAAAAGACCCGACGATTTCGCAATCGGGATGTGCTATGCATTCTGCGCGGCTACTTATCATCGGCCCATATGAAGCGTATTGACGCAAAGAGGAGTTTCTTTCAGCGGGTGTCCAGGGTAACAGACAACTTTTGCAGGGATGAGAATGAAAACGCATGTTCAGATGGCGACTTCGGATGAATCCGAGACAGAAGATGTTCTGGTGGACATGCATGATTACAGCCTCGGTCGTCGCCGCTCACGTCATTTTCTGCCATGCAGCGACTGTTGCACAGAGGGCCTCGGACACGGGTACCATATTTCATGGCAGCACCAGACGATCTAGAGGGCGGCGGACTGTTTGGAAGCGTCGTTTGCCTCGAAGGTGTGCAAGAACATAAACTCGATGGTCTGCAGTTATCGAGTCGCACATATAGAATCCGACGGGTTGTTGTTTGGCCAAGGATCTTCCTTGGGGAAGTCTATACGCATCGCCTTCAACGTTGGATGCACCCGCACGTATCTGATTGATGATTCGGATGAATCCGAAACACTTATAGAACGTCACCTTCGCAAGTTCAAGTGCAACAACGCAGTTGTCAACTTTAGTCGTCACGAGGGAGTCTCCTTTTCCCTTAAACACAAGGTCTGATCACACGTCCGTATCTTGTGACATACGGGGGTTCCCGCGGACGAGGTCGTGAACGGAAGCCATACATAGCATTCATAGATGATCCATACACATGGATCTGCGGCTCGTCGACTGTTGCCTTATCCGAAAACACTGACATGTATTTCATCCTGACAAACCCTCCTCGTCGTGCTAAGGAATTCCCTATACAGTCACATATTTCAGACACTTTTTTTTCCACATCATCCCACAATGACAGAAAAACTCTTACCTGACCTGCTCTCACCAAGTCTGATCGCCCATCTACATCTGGGCGAGACATGACCGCCTTGAACCTGGATCCCTGAAGCACCATCTCATTGCGTGACACAAGCACAACTGCATCCACAAGTTTTCCGCTTTTGCTTGAAGAAGCCACACAAAGCACTCTGGCAAAAGGACATCCGTCATCCGTCAAGCGCACACAACAGTACGACAGAGCTTGTGGAGAAGTCCCTGGGCAACGGGGTGGGTAGTGTTCCAAGAATGAACAATGACGACCGCAGTCCACCAACTCTTGCTTCTGCAAACTTCCCCAAGTTCGTGGCGAAGATGTGATATACTCGCAGTGGAGGCGACGTCTGAAGCTGGTACGGAAGCGGACCGGTTTACCCTTATCGTCCAGGGTCTTTCGATGGAGGACACCAACAGGCAGTGCAATGAGGCTCCCAAACTCCAACATGTTGGCAAACTTGTAATGGCTTGCCCATGGGCAGGAACGCTCCATCGCCTTCCAGTCATTTTCGTTCCATTTGTCGAGATGCCGGTTCATGTAAGGGACGACGGTCGTCCATGGGTCGTCCTCGAAGTCGTCCTCGGGTGCGTCGTCGATCCACGTTTGACCGTCATGATACCGCAACGATCTCGCACAAGGTGGAAAGGGTTTCGCTAAGCGCATGTGTCTCTCGGGTGTCATGGCGATGCTTGTCGAAGGACTTGACGACATTAAACTCCCGACACAACACGAATACATGGATAGACATATGGAAGAGGAGACGGTCGTAAACAATATCGGTGAACAATAATTTCCCCGACGACGCCCACACCCAGCTGTAACGCCCTACACTTTTTTGTCGACGAAGCCCCTAGAGAAGGCCGTCAATCGGAAACGTCCAAAAAAAAAATATTTCCACGTCGCATTGCAAAGCCCTTACAGAAGGTCACCAATCAGAAGTTCACCAAGCGAATTGAGTGTTTTCTAAAAGCTACGCAGGGACAAGTTTCAGAGCAGATGCAGGATTTCAAAAAGTTATCAAAACCCACGCTGTAAAGCACGTTGACACAGACAGAACAGTGGGACGGCCCTCGTCGAACGGAACAGCACACCGACGCCGGACAGCCACATTACACCGCCTCATCTACAGAAGACGTTTTCGCACAGTCGACATGACATGTACTTTTCGCAGAGCCATGAAAGCACACACTCTACCTACCACGGTCATTCTGAATACGAGTTGAACAGAAGTGCAAGACAGACGCTCATCCAAGCCTACAACACCGCCCCGGATCCGAGGTTCGGACCAATCAGAGCCACCAGCCAACAGAAGTCCTAGACAGAAGCTCATCCATGCCCACCAATCCGTGGTTCGGATCAATCTGAGCAACCGCCCAGGAAAGATAGACATTAAATGGGATGTCGTGCGACCATCCGCAGCTCGGATTAATCCAAGCCACCGCCCAGTGACCTCGCCTTACTCGGAGGGATGTGGCAGAAGGATGAGACACCCCTGGAATCGAACGTGGAGCCAGTAGGAAGCAACACGTCCTTTGCGATGTTTGCCATACTTCCCCATGTGCAAAAAGACAAAAGCCAAGAGTGGCAGACAAATCAGACTCAATTGTCGTCGAGCTATGAGGTTCAGATTAATTATACGGACCACAGCAAACGGTTTCAGTCAGGCGGTACCCAGACGTCCTTCGAAATATTCACATTTCGCCTCTCGGAAGGACAAATAAACAACGAATGCCCACCATCGGTTATTGTATGTTGCATTCAGGATGCGTGGCGTGTGCCGCCGTTTTCCTTTCCCGATGAGACCTCCCGTCACTGGGCGTGATACTCACCTCGGGACTCCCGATGTGGTGAGGGATGTGGTTCGGATTGATCCGAGCTATATCACACGTTTAGGAGTGACGCCGAGCTTATAAGTCATGTGTGAGTATTGCACAACCCAATGCGGAATAAATAAACACTGACAAAAGCCACGACTGCCGTCCGTCAGTCAACTGTGGTTGGATTCATCCGAGCTACAAACGAAGGCAAAAGCAGATGGGGAGCTATCGTACTCATGATTTCAGGAGATGTTTACTTCGGAAGCGATCCCTTGTGCCGTCGTTGTCCCTTCCACTGAGACATCGGAGGGATGCGGTTCCCGTTGAGACTTCTCATGAGCCGATGGTGGATATATGACGGTCGTTGGGACCTCGAGACATTCAAATCTCGCGCCTACGAGGCGGTATTCGAGAGATTAAGTGAGGTCAATCGACGAAATAAGGACGACCCTGCTCTTCGCGAATACGGGGACACGTTGTTCGAGTTCTTGCAGTCAAATAAATGGCTGGAAGTGTCCTCCGCGTTCTACGCCCTTCCGTCAAGCCCGTCAATTAAGCAAGTGAGTTGGGAGTTGCCTGGGGTCACCCCGCCGGCAGGAGTTGTGAAGCGCAAGTCTCGCGGAAAGGACGCCGACGGGGATGGTGAAGGTGGCGGGCAACGAGGTACCGGAGGTGGAAGTGAACAGCGTTCGACGAAACAGCGGTCTCCGGGGCACGCAGGCGGCGGAGAGGGGAAAAAGGGCAGCCGGGAGAAGAAGAAGCCTCGCAGCGGAGAGAAGACAAAGCATCACAGAGGAGACGGGCAGGGGGCCGATGTCGACCGCGACGAGGATGGTGGGGTTCTGGCGGTAACAGGCAACACCTCAATGGAAACGGGGAACGACTTGAGGCATGGGTGTATTACGCGGCCTGGCGAGCAGGACCCTGTGATTAGCTCCACCAGCGAAACACAGTTTGTCGATGCGATTGGCGGGGCGAGTGTCGCAAAGCATGGAACATGCTTCGCTCAGCTCCAAAAATGGTTGGCGGATTGTCTCAGATCAATCCAAACCTCGGAGACGACCTCGTTGTCCGGAACTCAATGCCTTCCGGGAAGCGAGACGACAACATACCACGGGTCCGGTAGCGACAAGCTGGAACCGTGTTCCGTTTCGCCTCAAAAGGAATTTCAGATTAATCCGAACCGCGAAGGCCGTGCCATCGAGGGAGCACAGCTGTCCACAGAACTCGAACGGGTGGTCCGGGTTTCCGAAAACCCTGGCGACGGAATTCGGATTCATCCGAACCAGGAAGCCGTGTCTGCCATGACAGACGATCGGTGTCAGGATGCAGTAATGTTGTGCGTGGAAGCCCACAAGGAGCTGCAGGCGGACTGTCGGACTGAGGGTGAGTTGGCGACCAGTTCCAATGTCGATCCCAACAGACTCGGAGCCGAGTTAGCAGTTGTAAGCGACTCCCCGGTGAAAGCGGTCATGTCGGCGTCATTGGAAACTGCGGGGGCTCGGATGAATCCGAACCAGGGCCCTGTGAACATCTCCCTCCCTGATGCATCTTTGGAGACGACCGTGATTCGGATTCATCCGAGGCACACGGACGAAGGACTTCAACTGGCAGGCGTTGAGGGTTGTCGACTACTGACGACTTTGGACAAGGACAATTCCGCCGATGACCGGATTGATCCGACACTCAAGGACGTCGGGATGGAGCTACCAGTTCATCCGGGATACGACGATCCCTTGTACTCCGCCCTTCACAACGAGGCGACGGGGGAGGACGATATGAAGAAGGCCTCTGACGCTGTTGGATATAGATTTCTCTATTTGAGTGACGACGACAAAGACACAGCGTACGGGGACTAGAAGTTAAGGGGGGGAGAGGTGTTGTTGGACATCCATGGGACATTGAGCCCAACACAATACGACACAGTGGCAATGGAGAAAACACAACCTGCCAATGTTGTGGACGTCGACGATCTTTGTCCGGAGACGAATATACCGTCTACAGTCATCGACGCCGACATCTCGAGCCTGTCAAGTTTCCCTGTGGGTTTGGAGCACGTCGTCGCCTCGTCGACGCGCGCAAGGGTGCCAATCGTGCTGGGACTGCCGTCGGTGGGCTCTAGTGAAGTGGTAGCTAGGCCTGGTAAGCACTGACTTTCTCAGCTTTCTTCCCGCTCGTCAGCCCCTTCGAGACGTGTTGTTTGCTTCGTCGATTTCGGGGAGGTGTATAGGCAGCCGCCAACTGGATTGTGACGATGTGCTTCGTGAGGTGCTGTTTGCTTGGTTGCTCTTGCGAACTTGTGTTGTTGATCTCCTGCTGAACTGTCTGGGTGGCTATTTCTTGTACAGGTCGACGAACTCGCGGACAAACACCCATGTCGCAGGAGCCGCCTGCCCTAGCCAGGTTGTCAGTCCTGGTTGCGGGAGGCACTAGTCGTCGCAAGGTCACTGATGCGTTTCCTGGGGACACTAAGCCTCGAAGCCCTCCCAGAAGGGTAGTCAAGCCCGTATTGGGCTCCCCCGCAAGACTCGTTGCAGAGGCAGCGGGTGTTGCCGAAAAAGACTGCAAGGAATTCCTTTTCGAGGCTTGCAGGGATATAAAGGACAGTGCTAGCTTAGAATCAACTGTGTGTAGAAGGTCCAGAAGTAGGGGTGACGTTACGCGTGAACTTTTCGGACCACAGAGTAGCGGTTCCTCGGACCATGACCGCTAGGACGGCATTTTCTCATAGTGCCCCGTCCTTTGTGCTTGCTGTGTGCTGCGGGTGTTTGTTGAACAGGGTTTCCTCGAGATGGAAGAGCGGTCCTTGAAGACGTTATCTGCTCCTGGTTGCCGCTCACTATCATCGTCGCGTGTTTTCCGTCGCACAATTTAGAGGTATCCGTCAAGGACATCGTTGCACTCGTGGATAGATCCGGGGAGCTCAACCATGAGGTTGTCAATTTCTACATGGCGATGCTACTGGACGACTGCGGCCGGACTGCCGCTACCATGAAGACATACACCTTTAACTCCTTCTTCGCCTCTTCACTGCTTCTGCGAGGTCCGGCAGCTGTTCTCAGATGGGCTAAAGATATCGATCTCCTGTCTCATGACCTCGTCTTGGCACCGGTGCACAAGGACGGCGAACACTGGAGCCTTTTGGCCATTGACTTCTCTAGACGTGTTTTCGAAATCTATGATTCTTTCTCGTGTTCGTCATCCAAAGATTCCTTCTACTCCGCACTTYWRGATAAAACTRTTAAATTTTTGAACACGGTGGCAGGTGCCGCCGGTGATGGTCGCACTTTCGACCACTTCGCTCGCGAGGTCAGCGTGAAAGGTGTCCCTCGGCAGCACGACGGGGCTAATTGTGGGGTGTTCATGTTGATGTTCGCTTCCTGTTTGGCGAGAGGTTTACGTCCACCTTTTGGTTTCTCCCATAGACACATCTCCTCTATCAGAGCTGGACTAGCTTTGGCGATTTGCGATGTTGGTAGGTAAGTGTCTATCTCTTTGTTGATCATGTAGTGTAGAAGGGTTGACGTAGAAGAACATTTCGTTCTTCTCCGGACGAAATTTGTTCCTTTTCAATTTTTCCGTGAGGGACTGGTGGGTGTTCTCGGTTTGGTTCAGAGCAGAACTGGCTGTCACTGCCAGGAAATCTCCGGGTGAATTTGTCATGTCCCCGGCGTGTTGGTCGTCGACAATATTGTTCTTTCTCATTGGATTTCAATTATCACGAACGTCCCCGTTGTTGGGGCACCTATTTCGTGATTGCATATCTCGCTTTCGTCATTTTGCGCCTTGTGTGGTGTGATGTTCTGCCCGCATACTCGGATGCATCCGGACTCGAAATAACTCTATGCTTTTCTGCCTCTCTCCCGAACCTCCCCCGTCGTCTACACTAATCTATGCATTTTCACTTTGAATATTGTGAGGCGTCACAGAAAACAAAATACAACACACGGGCCTCTTTATACATTTGATGGCCCGTCTGACCCTCCGCACTGTGTGCTTTGTGATTCCGACATTGAATGTTGTCAATTCTTTGGCCCGATAAAGCTCCCCCTCTGCACGAGCATTCATACATTCGGTTCCTATGCATTACCCAATACAATGAAAAATTAGAATGTGCCGAGAGGGAAAACCCAAAAGACGACACCAATGGTTGCTCGAATGTGACGAGATTTGAATTAAGGTGGAGGGGCTGAAAATACAATTGCACGACTGGACAAAATTGGATGTGGTGACGGAAGGATAAATCACAACACGGGCTAAGGTCTTTGCTATAGAGGACTTGAGTTAGTCCGTCGCACGCTATAGGCCAGCGAACGAAGTGAGCGCTTGAACTCCGAAACTGCTTGCTGGAGGCAGCACCCGCATTTGTACTTGAGCAGACCGGTCTCTACCTTCAACTTGTTTCAAGGCGACTATACTAACCGCCTGAAGTTGTTTCACATATAGTCTCTGAGGATCCTACACAGACATATGTTGGTTTCCTGCAGATTATGCCCATTACATTTCATTAAGGTGAACTCGTACATGTATCGAATTTGACACACAAAACAAAGGGCCGAAGGCCAGAGCTCCCCTGTCATCTCGGATGCATCCGAACTTGGCTTACTCTCGCCTAACGAAAACCTTGCAACTCTTGTACAGCTACACTTGTGGTTTTCGCATGTTCCTCGAACATGCGTCTCCTGTGCCACATGTCGACATGAAAAGAAAATTCAGTGCGATCATCTACACTCTCTATGTCTCTCTCTGTATCTCTGTCTATGTCCCTGTCTCTGTCTCTGTCTCCCTCTCCATCTCTCTGCGCGCTCTTTCTTTCTCTGTCAGCTCTCTCTAGATCGTAGCGAAGCGACTCACAGCCGAGACACTTCGGATGGATCAGAAATGTGGTGGATGATGGTACAATGTTTGTCTTTTTCTCTCTCTCTCTCTCTCTCTCTCTCTCTCTCTCTCTCAGTTTCGCAAAAGATACTTCTTGAACTGTGTCCCAAAAAGCACAGGGGAAACTTCAAACTCAAGGGTCTATACTAGTTCGACACTTCGGATACGTCCGTAACATGAAATGCTATGAGTGACTATACGGTGCTTGTCTTTTCCATCTCTCAGCCCTCTGGCATGCTAATATGCCATTTCTTGCGGGCTTCCTCTCTGTCAATCTCCTGTGATCTCGGATATATCCGAACTTCGCTTATCTGGGAAAATCACATTGCCTTGCTGCTCTTCTGCAACGATCGTCTGAAATGCTTTTAAAAGCGAGGCTGATGATCTCCGCGTGTGCTCGACCCTCCGCCGTTCGTGCGGCGTCTCGAGAAAATTAAATACAGTCTCTCTGAGACACTCTGTCTCTCGCTTTTTCTGTCTCTCTCTCTTTTTCTATATCTCTCACTCTTCAAATATACACGACCATTTCTTGCGGACTTCCTCTGTTTGTCTATCTCCTGTGATCTCGGATACATTCGAGCTTCGCTTATCTTGGAAATTCACATTACCTTGCTGCTCTCCTACAACGATCGTCTGAAATGCTTAAAAAAACGAGGCTGATGGTCTACGCGTGTGCTCGACCCTGCGTCTCCTGAAAATTAAGTACAGTCTCTCTAAGACTCTCTGTCTCTCGCTCTTTTTGTCTCTCCCTCTCTCGCTCTTTCTGTCTCTCTCTCTTTCTATCTCTCTCGCTCTATACATATACACGATCATCGGTGCAGAACTCCAATTCATTCTGGTCCTCACACTTCTAAATACAGGTCATCCTACTCCTCTAAGTCTGTGAAGAGCCACAACTCGTTTTACTCACAAACTCGAGTTTGTGTCGTTATACTTTTCTGATTCGGATGAGTGGGATGCTCAACTCCAAGTGAAACTATGACAAAGTGGTATATATAACTTTGTTCTGGTATTCCATATCTAGACACACGAGATATATGTACTGAGGCAGCAGTACATATTATAACACAGTGGTAGCAGATATATGTACTGACTCAGAGGCGTATAACACAGTGTATACTCTGTTGTGGTGTTCCCCATCTGGACACATCCGAACCACGAGAGGAAAGCAACTATATGTACTGACTGTGCTCCTCACCTCAAAGTTGCTTTACCCCTTGCTCGGATGTATCCGGATCTGGAATACTACAGCAGACTATACACTGTGTCATAAATTCGTTTCAAAATAGTACACACAATAATGTAATGTTTTAACGAATAACATGTTATACTCAAATGTTGATTTCAACATTCTAGAAGTTGAAAAACGGAAGGAATTTTCGCACATTTTTTCTGTTGCTGCAGGGCGGGCCAGTCCTATATAATGTTGGCCCGTCCACGAGGCTGCTCTTGCCAATGTCGAAACGTGCCAGACCCTGGCGTTGAAGCTCAACCAGGGTTTGTCTTGAAAACAGGCCCGAAATGGCCTGTGCTAAAACCCTGGTTTGTTGCCTGAGTTTCAGGGCGGGTCGAACTGATGAGGGCCTGAAAATGGCCCTCAGTTTCAGGCTGAAAACACTCAGGGCCGGAAAGACCCTTATTTAACCTGAAACGACACAGGGTCTGTAGGCCCTTGTTTTCAGGCTTTGAGGCTGAAACAACACGGGGCTGTTAGACCCTTGTTTTCAGGCTTTTGGCCTGAAAACGTCACGGGCCTAAAAGGGGGCCCGTGCAACTTGTTGCAGGCGCAGCATGTAACAGATGGGACAAGGCCTTAGCCGTCTGCAGTAATGGCGAATTTGGTACTTTGCTAGTCATATGGCACCATCCACAAAATGTGCAAAATTCTCGGGAATGAATTTTCACCATTTTCGAAGACACAAAAAAAAATAATTTAAAAAAAAAGGACATTTGCGGTCACCTCCAGCGGTGACCGCAAGTTCCTTGGCCTCGCGGCTCCACAAACCACTGACTAAAGGGCACATAGATGTTACATCC